TACACCAAAATCCGCTATTTTCACTCGACCATCGTCCGTCAGTAAGATATTGGCACCCTAAGCAAGTATTTAAATTTGGGAAAAATTTATTACTTTTATATCTCTATGAATGCGGCCCAATCCATGCATGAAGCTCAGTCCTTGGAGCGTTTCTTTAGATACAAAGGCAATGCAATCTTCAGCCAAAGGCTGACGGGTATCTAAAGGCAAAATTAAATCTAAGAGCCAAACAAACATAGGTAGATGTCTTGCATTGACTGGCCACCGCAATACTCCATACATATCCACAATTTATTATTGCTACATCAAAAGTAAGACGAATAAAATTAACCGAAGGTAGCTTCCAAAGAACTGAACTATATTCGGATGTCTGCATTCACGTAGCGTGTGAATTTCTTGGCATATAGCTCTAATATCATCCTTAAAATCAATCTTCATAATTTTAACAGCCACAAATTCTCTAGTTTCTCTATGTATTGCCTAAAATAATTTTAAATTTAGCAGACAAAGCCAAGGAAAATTTCAATGTATATAATTAAGGGTTTTGCGCATACCTTAAATACATCCCCATATGTCCCGCTTCCAATGTTAGCAATAACTTTATATTCTTCTCTAGGGTCATTTTTATTTACAAATTGCTTAAGGTAATCGAGTTTGGGATGACTCATTTAATCCGGATGAGACTACATTTACAGTCTCAAATAAAGCGCGTTCAAAAAACGTAATAATATAAAATTTCAGTAAGAGTAATTTTAAAATAACTTATTTTTAGTATATAAGTAAAAGCTTTGCTTTAATTGTTTAAGACAGCATTTACATCGTTTTGCCTGTCGAATCCCTTCCATTAACTCTTATTTGATACATTTTTGCTTAATGGAATCTCCAAATAACAAAAAAGTCTGCTATTATTACGATGGTACGACCCTATTGTGTCTCAACTCAAAATTCTGCATTATTTTTGTATTGAAGTAATTTGTCTAGCCATGCACTCTTATTCGGATTTCAGCTTGGCATTTTCCCTCTTTCCTCGCACTATTATTATCGTTAGTTGAAAAATATTAATCACCTGAGGCCATATTTGTGAGGTTTTTATTTCCATATTTGCCTACTTTCTGTGGGCAAAGTTTTGTGGTGATTATAATTTGATCATACCTTCCGCCTTGTGTTTTTTCCCTGGATTCCTCATCTCTTGTTATATTTTTAGGCTTTATTTTTGCTCCCCCGCACATTATTGTCACATAATAACTTCGTTTTGCTTATATAATGGCTTTTGTATACTTTCTTTTCCATCTCACTTAGCCCTAATCTCACTCACTTTGTGCCTCTCTCTTAGGTGATATCGGGAACTACTATTATGGTCAAGGCCATCCAATGAAGCCACATCGTATAAGGATGACTCATAATCTCTTATTAAACTATGGTCTATATAGAAAAATGGAGGTTTACCGACCTTCTAAGGCCTATGCCGAAGATATGACAAAATTTCATTCAGATGAATATATTAAGTTTCTCAAAAGCATCCGGCCTGACAATATGCACGAATACAATAAACAGATGCAGCGCTTTAATGTTGGTGAAGATTGCCCTGTTTTTGATGGTCTTTTCGAGTTCTGTCAACTATCTGCCGGTGGTTCCGTTGCTGGTGCTGTCAAATTAAATAAACAACAAACGGATATTGCCATAAATTGGGGTGGGGGGTTACATCATGCCAAAAAATCTGAGGCATCTGGGTTTTGTTACGTTAATGACATCGTCATGGGCATCCTAGAACTACTCAAATATCACCAGCGTGTCTTATATGTTGACATTGATATTCACCACGGCGATGGCGTAGAGGTCAGTAATTTACTATTATGAAGTGCTCTTTAAATTTATTTCTTTGTAACCTTTCTTTTACTATCTTAGGAAGCTTTTTATACAACGGATCGTGTTATGACAGTGAGTTTTCACAAATATGGCGAATACTTTCCTGGAACCGGGGACCTCAAAGATATTGGCGCTGGAAAAGGAAAATATTATGCCGTTAACTGTCCATTGAGGGACGGAATGGACGATGAATGCTACGAGAGAATTTTCAAACCCGTTGTCTCTAAAGTAAGATTGTATGCTACCATCCTAACATTAATCACTTCATCATAACTATTGTTACTAGGCGGGTAATGTATCCCTTTCTTTATTATATGGCTAGTTTTTACTTATTTGTGATTTTTATTGTGTTCGTTGAGCAAAATGCTATTCTTTGTCAATATCATTATACATGGAATAATGTTACTACTGTCAATTTTAACACAATTCCCTTGCACTGTTCTCTGATCTCGGTTTATCAGTGATAAGCTGTGATAAGATGTGGCAGACATCCTCAAAATAGGAAATAGTTTTTTAACAAAATGCATCAGTCAATAAGCCAAGAACCATGTTAGCTGCGGTTTTAGGCACTCATAAGCTAGTTAATTGATCCTATACTGGAAGTTATGATTGCTCTAGCTGAGGACGCAGGGCTGGTTACATAAGATCTCCGTGTCACCCCGGCCAGGTTAGGAGAACTAAGCCATACCAACTCATTTCGGCTAAGGGAGGCTGCTACTATCTACTTACAAAATAATTTTGATTTGGGACATCCGATCTTTTTCGTCTGCTTCACAATTTTACATAAGTGGAGATTATTCGGATTTGGCCTCAAATCCCTATCTTTAATGTGACCCCGCAGTTTTGTGTTATGATATACCTTATTTTGTATATAACACCCACTGAATTTATCGAACCCTAACCAGACCCTTCCTTTATCAAGCTTATTCCTACATCCTATATTCCGTTTACTTTTAATAACCATCCTCATTTTCTCTCAGGTTATGGAAGTCTTCAGACCTGGTGCCATCGTGCTACAATGTGGAGCTGATTCTCTCAGTGGAGACCGACTTGGTTGCTTTAATTTGAGTCTTAAAGGGCATGGAAAATGCGTCGAGTTTATTCGTTCATATCCTTTACCTTTACTCTTGCTTGGAGGTGAGTGGACTTGCTCTATATCCAAGCGTAATCCCGTTGATTTTTTTGTCTTCCACTATATTCTTGCTGGTTTTTAGGTGGTGGTTACACAATTAGAAATGTGGCGCGTTGCTGGACCTATGAAACCTCGTTGGCCCTTGCAACTGAAATTCCTAATGATCTCCCCTATAATGACTATTATGAATACTTCGGACCCGACTTTAAATTGCATATCAATCCTAGCAATATGTCTAATCAGAATACTCCTGAGTACCTAGAACGGATTAAAGCCAAACTTTTTGAAAATCTTCGCATGATTCCACATGCACCTAGCATACAAATGCATGGTTAGTCTCCAAATACTTATTTAAATCAAATAATTGATCACTGTTAACCAATAGGATATTCGATTCCTGTCATTACAAATTACTATGGTCTAGTTGTCTAATAATTTATCAACTCCCTTGATTATGCTTTATTTTTTTTTCTATATTTGAACTTAAGTTGATTTGAAATTCTCCCACCTGATTTGGGGCAATCGTTCTGATACCTTTTTTACCCTCTAATCTTTGCCCTAATCAGTTCACTTTCATAAGGTAAATTATCAGTAGAATGATTTGAACATTCTATGGCATTTTGGCCTCGTGATAATTGACCTTAAAATCAGGAAGTCTAACTCCTTATTATATCTTCTGGTAGTCTTGATTACTCATAACAAGTCCTACTGTGACTGCCCTATTGGTACTCTTTTCCACATCAGATATGAAGGGAGTGATACTTGCCTTGTTTCAAAACCAACATCTCGTAGTTTATTGTCCCTCAGGCTTCCTTTACCAAGTGGTAACGTGATATCTAGGTCTACATATTCTAATTTATAACCACAGTGTGCTGATGAAATCTGAGCGTAAGTCCTATGATATATGGCTATCTAGATAGTAGCAGGAGTAAATCTAATTAAATATGTCTTCCTCGAAAGCTAGATATGAAGCTATTGTTCCTATTAGTGTTTTCACTTCTATTTTATATTATTGTAATATATTATATTTGCATTCAGATGTCGCGTTTCCTAGGCAAATTAATACAATAACCATTATTACCTGAATGAAGGCCAAGCTGAAGGCTACTTTTACTGTTTCATAGGGTTGTTTATACTTCTCGCAATTTTACCATTTTTAGACCGGAACTTCGGGGAAGATATATGAGCTGTAGTCATTCTAGGTTGCCCAATGTGAGGAAGGACTGGTAGTTGAATTTTTTAACATTGATATAAATAAGCCATACGATGCTAATGAATTTCACTTAGCCTCCCTTTACTGAGGAATCCCTGTAAAAACGATAGGATTCTGGAGATGAAGTTGCACCAAATTTATTGTCACAAGTTTTCCTATCGAATCCGTGATTCCTCCATCCTAGATGCCTCCCTTCGCCTATTAAATCTGCAATTAATTCATCGAATGCTCAATTAGTCGTACCTAACTGAATCTTAAGAATTGGCACAAACTTTTCTCTATTTTTCACTTCTAACTAGATATACCTGAAGATGGCATTCAAGTTGATGATCACGACGCGACAGCCAGGGACGCAGCCGATCCTGATAAGCGAGTATCTATCATGGCTGCTGATAAAATGATATCAAAAGAGAATGAATATTATGATGAGGATGAGAAGGCTCGTGACTTGCAAGACAATCGAGTCACTGTTGTTGCTCCAGCCAAACGTGCCCGCATAGAAGATGGCGCTAAAATAATAGGCAAGGAATCCGTTGATGCAGATGCTCCGAAGGTCGCGGCAATATGCTAACGCTTGACCGACCCTAAAGCTGACCTCGCTTTTCATGCCCTTATTTGCAGTGCCAATGGCAAATTTATATAACTCGTGGCGCCATGGATTTTACTTCAAACATTTTTTGTCTCATTTCTGTAAACTCATTATTCATCAATCGATAGCTATTTTTATTTCTGATATCCCTCGAGGCCTCCTTTTCTAACCATCCATTTCATCTGCATTTCTCTGTATTGCACCAATTCATATTTCATGTATTAGCTTTATGTGCCCTTTGCAATAAAGAATAATTTTTGTCTGGACCGAATCCAATCAAAGCAAATTTTATCATAGGTCGATTACTATTTTCGGCATTTAAAGCTCTCCTACTGCAAAGTTTTCTCACCCCATTTAAGCATCCTATAATTAGAATTGCATAACATCATATTGATACATTTTATTTGCGTAATGCTTAAGCTACAAGACAGAGTCCATATAAACTTCATTTTCACTTCAACAGGGCGTTACCGTATCTACCCTTTCCTTGAGGCTGGTTTCATTAAACCGACATGAGTTGCCCTTTTTAAATGTCCCTTCCTTTGAAAGCCTCGTTGTTTTTTTGGCTTTCTTTACAAACGCATTTATTAGAATGTTTCTTATACCTTTTTATCATTTTTCCGGACTTTGTTTACAATATTTCAGCAAGAATTCCTCGGGTTTTATCAGGCCGTATAGCACTGTGCTGTGACACTTAATCGGTTTAAACTGCTTGTCGCATTGAAGGTATGAAGACCAAGATGGCGTGGCCTTTTGTGTGGTCGCAATCTTCTTTCGTTGTATACAGGTTGTTTGACCTTGTTTTCGTTACTTGGTCATAATAGTAGGAAGACTTAGAGGAACGCACCTAGTCCGGAGTCCATTGTATGCATGATTATTTCCAAAGTCGGACCGTGGACTTAGTACATTCCCAGGCGTATCGCCGGCATTGTAGTCGGCATCATCAGTGAGTCTCGCCATAACACCACACTACAACTCGTCAAAGGGACAAGTGACGAGTTGTAGTGTGGTGTTAAGAATGGCGAGACTCACTGATGCTGCCGACTACAATGCCGGCGATACGCCTGGGAATGTACTAAGTCCACGGTCCGATTTTGAAAATGATTATGCATACAATGGGCTCCTGACTAGGTGCGTTTCTCTAGGTCTTCCTACCAAGTTGCGAAAACAAGTTCAAACAACCTCTATGCTTGCCACATTGTTTTCGAGCATGATATATATTAATTTTTGGCCTTGTTTTTGCAACTTGGCTATATTAGCAGGAAGACTTAGAGAAATGCACCTAGTCCAGAGTCCATAGTATACATGATAATTTGCATAATCGGGCCGCGGACTTGGTGCATTCCCAGACGTTTCATCGGCATCGTCAGTGAGCCTTGTCATTCCTGGCACCACACTAAAACTCGTAAAAGAGACAAGTGAAGTCCATCCTTTGACCAATTATCTGCTAAACAGTTGTGGTAGCTCTCCTTTTGTCCTGAGCTATCCACCTATCTTATATCCTCGAACCACTCCACTATCACAATTTCTTAATTGCTTATATAAATGTGGTATCGTATGCCCCTTTGAGCGAATTTCATGAGGCCTCTTCACACTGCAAGCTGGCTTTCTCACCCAACCCCCCTGCCATTGTTCCGAGAACGTTTTTGCTCAATCTGCCATATTAGTCCGTAATCCTCTAACAATAAGTACTCTTGCTCCATAGGATCCCTCTTCCATCTCCTTGGTCCAGGTATTCCACTTGACCCCTGTCACCCTATCTGTGCTACTCGAGGCGTTATTCCCTACAATTTGCCCCAAGCATTTGATGGTGAATATACTCCCGCCTCGCTGAGTAGGCCGACAAAATCTGGATACTCGAGCTGGATGGTAGACTAACTTGACGTTATAGATCCCGAGTGATTATATTCGTCAAGCCTTTGCTTGATGTACTTCGTCAATACTCAAACGCATCTACTGTTAGCCAAACAGCTCTAGTCTCTGCCGCATCCATCGTGCTCATCCATAATGCCAAGTCTATCACTTCCTATGGCATAGTTTATTGTTCGTCAACCCACAAGTTATATTGTTCTACTTGTTTTGATTAGGCTCATTGTAGACGTCTCCCCTTGGTTTCCTATTATTCCTTTCTGGTCTCCTTGCGATTGCTTATAGTAAAAATTAAAGATGTTACTTGGATCCAGTCGTCTTCTTTTTTCAGATCTCCGAGTTTGCTTAGGCAATATGCAAAGTTTTTGCTTATCCTGCCTTCTTCAAGTCTCATTTTCCTTAAATTTCTTTTGGTCAGTATATCTCGGATCTTGCGTTTTCTCGTATTTCCACCATATGCAACCAGCCTTTCTGCCGATTTAGTTTCCAGTCTGTGCAATGTGTTGCGCTACTT